TCATCCTCTGCCTTTTTTTTTTTTTTTTTTTTTTTTCCTCGTATACGCCAAAATTTCAAGCCCCTTGGGGGCCCCTTTGTTTTTTTTTTTTTTTTTTTTTGGGGTAAGATATTTACTTTTCTTTCCTTAATTTGTACAGTGGTTAATTTGAATATTCATCGTTTGACGTAATATTTTCTGAATCCATGAGTATCGAACAAAACGTGAAAAAAATACTACTTTAAATTGTATGATGGCACATGGCTTTCTTAAACTTTTACTTATCATTGAATTAAATTAGCAAATATTAATTGTTAATGTAGACGATTTCGACTCTTTGAAAGCGAAGAGTAATTTTTTCCGCAAGCGACAAAAGTGCTTAAATAGCCATTTATCATAAAAAAAAAACTAAAAACTTTTTGTTATAATTATAGATAATTTTACTATGAGTTTAATGAAAATATACGTTTTTACGGAAACCACCTCCACTTAAAAAAAAAGTAGCAAACCGCTTAACCATATTTATTACATAAATGCTTAAAAAATTATCAAAAAATGAATGCACAAACTTTATTCATTAAAGAGTTGTTAAATTATATACGAAATTCATTACTAGAGATAAATTTACGTGGCAGAAGTTTTAATAAATAAAATAACCACGGTAGAGACGATGCATAAAAGGTATAAATGATAAATCGAGCAAAAAATGGCAACTAATACGTTTTCAATTAGAATCGATATCAAACATCGTAATAATGTACACACTTGAGGAACCATTTCTAATTAATAGCTCGTAATGAATTATAATGTGCCATGGTTGAGTATAACTCGTTTCTTAGATCTCGATTACATTGTAATGACTGTATTTAAATAACAATGGTATTAAATCGGTTCGTGGAAAAACGTGAGGCACACCTGCATTTCTCACTCGTGTCTACTCTTTGTGGTCGAAAAAAAAAAACTTTAACTCTTTAATGAGTTTTAAATGAACCATCACGAATAATGTATTATTTCATTAACAGGGCAATACCGTGATAACGAATCGACGTGCGTATTATTTTACTATTAATTGGAAGCGAATCTTCTACCTCAATTTCCGGGATTTTCCTGTAAATAGTAAACGTGCGTTTGTACTTTTTCCTTATTAATTATTGCTTGTAACACGCGATTGTAAGAACGTCATTGAAACACTTTTATCATAAATGGTTTTTTTTTGTTCACTCTTGATTATACCATTGGTAAAATCGCTCTCAAGGGGAATTCCCCCGTGAAGAAAATTTCAAGAAGCAGCAGTGCAGTCGCAAAAGATCATCGCGGATGTAATGCGCGGGCACGTATGTACATTAAATGTGCTAACTTGCTTACGAAGCCGGAAAGTGGAATTCACGCGATCTCGAGAAAAACTTGCGCAGTACGCGCGAATAGCAGTACTTACTTGGTGTTTGTAGTGGTAGAAGCAGTCGCGTTGCTGAATGATTTTTTTTTTTTTTTTTTTTGTTCATTTAACTCGTTTGTCTTACGTAGGCTTAATTTTAACAAAGTTTTGTTCGACCGCTCATACTCACGATAACTCGATATACTCTTTTATCGACAACTACTAGTGGAAAAAAACGTCTCGTCCTATTACCTATTATCACGTCCCTCAGGGTACGAATTTTTTTCCTCTCCAACGAAAACACGATGCAGCATTTTTTACACGCATGTATATAGCACGAAACGTGCGTCAAAGCTCGATATTTAATTAAACGGTATCGAAAGTGAAAAGGCGAAAATTCTTTTGAATCATAGTTAAAAATCGAGAGTCAAGGTCGATGCCGGATGCCAATGTATTTTGCGTCGATGAAGCGACCGTGGTCATACCCATGCGTGCAGGGAAAAACGGACGGACGGGGGGGAAGAAAAATCTACGGAATGCCGCTCTCTCGCGGCTATACGTATACGCGCACAGTAAGCGCAAAGTGTCAATGAACTTGATCGGTTCGCTGCACCTTGACCCAATTTGTAGCGTCACTTATGCTCACTGTTTACAACGCATTACATACATCCACGTAGACATACGTATCAACCAACGCAAATGCACACAAACACCTTACGCTATACATGTACTTTTTTGGTCTTTTTACATTTTTCAATCCTAGAAATGAGCATGTGTTGTTTTTCGAACAACCAGGTGATAGCATTTTTTTTTTTATTGGCTCATTCTCAATTTTTTTTTATGAAACTCACAGTTTATGAATTAAAAATTCGCAAAGTATGACTTTTCCAAGCCGCAGTCGCCTGCATGCTTATCAATTTTGGATTTCTTTGCAATCAACAACGTGCAACTTTTCAAGTTTTCATTGAGATAGCATATATGGTTCAACAAACTAGAATTTTCAAGTTATAGTATTTTTGCGAAATAAAAGCGATAGAAACTATTAAAAAGTTGCGTAGAAGCACAGTCAGTCATCCACGACGAGATTAAAAATCTATATACTTGTAAGCATATGTATAGATGTACCGTGTAAACAGGTACACATTGATAAAAAAAAAAAGATCCAATATTATACCGATGTATCGTCTACGCGTGTAGAGTTGCCCGTTTTGCCCCTAAACATCTTCAAAGCGATAAAACACGTGCGTGTTGCGGTGAACTGTTACCCGCGATAAGCTCAAACAGATTATCATATCGCTGTAGAAACAAAAAAAAGTTCACGGTCTGCTAAAGAACACTAGACCTGATCAGCTAGTGGCAATCGTCTTCGGCTGCATTAGAATGACAAAGTAGCCTGTGATTACGCGACGAGCAGCTACATATGGTAATTATGTATCACATTAGACATACAGAAGTACGGAAGCTAATTTTATTTACTTATTTAAATAATACCACGAAAATCACATTCTGTAGAACCAACTATTATACAATATTTCTCGAGAGACGGTGACGTTTTTGGCCCATGGGGATGGGACGGCCCTGCATCTTCTCTATAGTTAACCAATATTATATATTAAATGAATTAAAACGTAATACGAGTGAACTAAAAATATGCACTTCAAAGTGAAAAGTACTTTTTGAATTTTAATCTTGGCCATCAAAATTAATTTTAGACGTTAGTGGTGCATTGTAGGATGTATCATTGCAATTGTTCGCGATAAAAGACAATACAGCGAACTGGCCTTCAGTTACACTCTCCTCTATCGCGGTTTCAATTAATTGATTATTCGACTTGGCTCTGTTTCTATTTGTTTCCCAGCGCAAGCAGAATACCCCCATTAGTAACCATTGCCATTAGCGATATTAAAAAAAGAAAAGATCAGTCTTCAAACAATATACAGATTAATCTTCTAATGAGAAAAAAAAAGGAGCCCCGGGGCAAAATGAGACATTAACCGCGTTAGAAATAAACCAAGCGACACATGCCCCCAAGCGTTTAGTCTATACTTTGACCGATCAGTGCTAATCTCCACTGCTCAATTAGAATTGAATGTCGACTAATGAGGATGTTTTTTCAATTCCAGGATAATGCGAAATCTGGAGAGGTTGTCGGGCAGCGACCAGGACTCCGTCGATCAGGAGATGTACATCGACCTGGACGACGCCTCCGTTGACTCCTTGACAGGCAAACGAGGCCGCCACCATGTCGCCGAGGTGAATATCGCTACCCTATTATTTCCCCTCCCTTGTACAACGACCCTTGTTTCTCTCACACCTATACGAACCGTCGATTAATCAGCTACACCGCAAAATCATGCGCGGCCGAGGCGAATGTGAAATTTGCTTCGATCAGCGCGTAGTTTCGCGCTTACGAGTCGCGTGGACGGTATATTATGGAGGGGGGGGGGAAAGAAAAAAAAGAAACCACAGGAGACAGGAGATATATAGGCTGGCTCATTACGTACGCAGACACGTGTGCGGCACTTCCTTCCTTGTTCGGATCCGCTATCGCGTGCCTGGTTTTCTCATATGCGACGCGCGAATTCGACGCCGTCAACGCCTTTATTTCGTGCTCGTTCACATAACGCGAAGCATTATATTTTCAGGCATTACTTTACGGATAGTCGAGTTGTCTTTTTCCCTCTCAAAAAACAACAGTGATTATTTTTGCTGGAAAAAATCAGCCGCTCCAAGGACTTGGTACGAAAAAAGAAAAAAAAACAGTACACTTACATGTGACGTGCGCGCCGGGAGAAAGCACGCGGCGAGAGATAACGGAGTCGCCGAATTCTCGAGGGAAAACTTTTCCTGCAAACAAATCGTCCCCGTCTTCCGAGGGGATCGATAAAAATCCATCTCTCGCTGGCAGAGCCGAGTTCTTAATTTTTCCGGCCGCGCGTCTCGTTTAATCGCCCGACGGACAGTCGAATGGATTTTTATGTACATATACATATTCATACGCGTACAGCGTGAACGTGTACGTGGGTTTTTACCGCGTGAGAAGTTTAACAGCGTCAAAGGTGAGAAACGCGAAGCGATTTCGTTGATGCTCGGTCGAAAAAAAATTTCACGGAACCGAGAGTCGGTGGTAACCTATACACCTCCCGCCATGTGGGCATTCGTCGGCTCGCGCGCATTTTGCATAACTCGAATTTCCAGTCTGGTGCCTTGTCTCCCCGGCCCCCCGCGACTGTGTACCTTCTTCTTCTCCTCCTCATTGTCGGAGCGAGTACATTCTTTTATTCCCGATCGCGTTGTAAAGCGACAATTAGCGCTCGTCATTGGCATCCATTATGTACTGCTGATGCTTCGGGATTTTTCGCAGGTTTTTTTTTTTTTTTTTTTTTTTTTCTTTTTTTTATACACACACTTATCGTGTTTTTCCGAGTTTCGCACTTGACGCGGCTCACGCCGAGCACGAGCATTGGAAAATCGCCGTACACAAGTATCTTATCTTCGCGTCAAATGTTTACTTTGTACGGTCGGTAATTATTACGCACAGGCCGGGGGAAATTTTGTTCAAGTCGTTATCGCGGGCCGCCATACATAATAACTCATTAAGTATAATAATATCCCACATCCAAGATTCAATTGAGCCGAGGTCCGTAAAATTCACGGCTTTGCCAACGCGATAGATGGACGGGGGGAGCGGCTGATTGTGTTTTATCTAGGCATTAAAATATTGATGGTGTTTTAATAATTCGCAAATAAATATTGATTTCTCAATCCCGTCGGTTGTTGCTGTAGCCTCCAATCGGCCAAGCGGCAGAGAAATTATCTTCGATAAGCGATTAAATTTTTAACGAACGAGGGGTATAGGCCTTGAAACACATACACTGGAAGATCCTATTAGAGATATGAAGTTTTTTTCATTTATTGTTTTTTTTCTTTTATTTTTTTTTTTACTTTTGCTGTTAGCCGTGATTTTTACGTTTATAATACCTTCGTGATTGTTATTTATGGCTAGTATACGTATACCTACTTGCCACAGGGTTATTTCTATTTTCAATTTTCGTTTTTTTTTTCCTCCTCGATAATTCTGTACGTAGTCGTGAATAAAATTGAGAGTCTAATCTATCGAGAGAAAAAAGCGAAACCTCGCGAAATTAATGGTGTAATAATGTACATGCACCGGTTTTATACAAGGTATAATATCTTTGCACGAGTGATGTCGAAACACAAAATTATGATACTCGTAACGGCGTTATGTTGGCTTCGGACTATATTTTCAATGTACTGGGTGTATCTTAACAGCAGATTATTATTAAAACGTCGAGATATTCTTGAATAAAAAAAAAAATATAGGTACCATCTGGCCGATCGATTCTCAAGTTACCGCTCGGTTTATCAACGAAAATCCCCGAAAATCACTCGATCGCGCATAAACATTAACAAATTTAATTTTCGTGATTTTAAATACTCGGAATAACCGATCAAATGAGTGTGTATCTTGAAATTACATCTACTCGATTTAACAAAATCTCGAGCCAATGGCGCATATATCCTACATACCGTCACCTTGTAGAAAAAAAGCTCCACATTAAAAATATAATTTATTATTATTCTCACTACTACTGTTGTTTTCTAAATAATACAAGAGAAAAAAAAATCACCAAGGCATGTGTAAAAAAAAAAACTTCAATTTTTATCTTTCTCCTTCGATGAAAAACTATTACGAAAAAACCATCAAGTTCATCACCAAATGCGAGCATTTTTGAAATACCAAAAAAAGATCGTCCAAGATACCGCTTTCTTCCTATTAAAAAGTTTTCGAGATAACGCTTTTTCGCCCCGAGGTGTTGACATTGTACATTGACATCACCGACTAATGAATCATTAAAAATAGTAGGTGTCTTTTTTTAGCACGTGACATGGTTCTGGGATTATTATTTTCGTAACTCCAACGTAATTTCTTTACGTAAAAATCAAAAATTAAAAAGCCTTCACTTAGAACTTTGAACTCCCGGTCGAAAAACCTATTTTCTTTTTTCATCTATAGTGTATTTCTCGTACTTAAAAAAAAAAAAAAAAAAAAAAAAAGTTATCATACCCGCGCATNTTCAGGGAACTGATAAAAAAAATCGTACGTACCTGATTCGCTAAAGCAAATAAAACAGGGTATGCAAATAAAACGGCGAGTAATTTAACGTACTTGTATTAAACCCATTGCTTTGGAACACGTTTCTTCAATTAAAAAAAAAAAAAAAAAAAAAAATAGAAAAAAATCTCCAATCAATCCCCTATCGCCTAGAATGGTGGTCTCAACCAAACTAACTAAACGTTATCACACAGGTGGGCGACGAGAGTGACAGCAGCGGCAGCGATCGGGGCCCAAAGCGGATGAAACGGCGCAGCCGAGGCGCACCACCGACGACTCGCAGACGAAAAAATGGCATCTCCGCGCGGGAACGCACCCTCAGGAGACTCGAGAGCAACGAGCGCGAGAGGATGAGGATGCACTCGCTCAACGACGCGTTCGAGGTGAGATCACCTGCCCCATAGCGTCTCCTCCACTTCGATCGTTGTTTCATCTCTCTCATCATTTCTCACGCAAAGCCATTCTTCCGCTCTATAATTACTCTCGAGCTACTACAATCCATATATCTGTATATTATTTGATCCGAGCTACAAATACAGGTATTCGCTTTAGGTGCGAGAGTAACCCCAGGGGCGCTCCAAGTATAGCAATTTAAATTGAGCAGAAAAAAAACTAAAGTAAAGTAAAAAAAAATAAAAAAAAATAAAAAAAAAAAATGATCGCGTAATGTGTACACATGTACAGGGCTGCAAACAATTTTTATCTACAACGTGATGAAATATTTTTTTGCGCAAAATAAGTATGTGCGGCCGTACGTGATACACCGAAGAAGAAAACAACAACAACAACAATAGTGCCGATTCAGATTATCGACTGATGCATTGTACATTTCAAGCTCATCCTCTGCCTTTTTTTTTTTTTTTTTTTTTTCCTCGTATACGTACGCAAATATAATAGGTATATGCACCTGATTGGTTTGCATTTTTGTAAGTCACCTTTATTGTACCTCGATTTTGGTACGAGGAATAAAAAAATACACAGATAAAACTAAAGCTCAAACACCCGAAACAGTCGATTACGCGCTTCTGGACAGAGTAACTTAATTGGCGCTTGATAGGAAAACTCATTAATTTTGAATTAAAGTTTATAAAAAATAAAAAAAACCCGTTCGTCAATAATATAAGGCTAGCCTCGTTGAAGGAGGCTATTGCCAGAGGGAGTATATTACTTACGATTAAACATTCAGGGGAACACTTTTATTATCGCCATTTCGGTATGAAGAAATGACCCAGTGAATTTTGAAAGCACATAATCGCCTGCAGCACATCAAAATGACACTTCATTTGACTCTTGAAATTTGTCCGCGTGAAATTTGCACTTGAACTTTAATATCACGCCCCGATGGCCTTTCGTTGCGGCGGCAGAACATATATGTATTTATGATCATGCACGTATCCATACACGATTAGTGCTCCAAGCTTATCGAGACGTCGACGTCGACGTGTGAATTTCTGCGATGCTGATTTTTCTTTCTTTCTGTACGGGTATGGGTATATGCGCGAGAAAAGATGAATGGCAGGACGTATTATAGAGCAGTAGCACCGGTTTCTCGGTATTCCTGTAAGCCGTCAAAATTTATGCACCTCGCGGATATGGAGCGCGAAAATAGCCCGTCGCCCGATAGGTACTCTCTCTCTGCGCGCTGAGGGTATTCAGATGCCTGTATTTGTGAAATCGAGCTCGTTGATATAAAAATAGAGGACATATACCCACGTACGTGTGACGTATGGCTGCTCTCTCCTGGGTAAATTTACCATCTGACTTGTACACTGATGTTGGGGGAATACAAGAATAAGGGCACCTTAGGCTTATTCATGTTTTTTTTTTTTTTTTTTTTCCATCGATCAAATAATTAAATTTTTTTATTGAATTACGGCATTATTTGTCCTGTTTTTCAAAAGTACATGACGTAACATGATTGTTTGCAGTCACATTTACATGGATATGATAAAGGCTGGATGAATTTCGATATCAGCATAAAAATAAACGAAACATTTTTACATGTACATCAATCGAAGCTTTGAAATGTACTAAATAATATCGTATGTTTTTCAAAATTTTGTTTGTTATTTTCATTCATTTATCCGTTTGTCTACTTATTTGGTTGATTCTTTGCGTTTGCTCAGTAAAAATTATTTACTTCTTGATGCGTAATTGTTTTTTTGCTTACTTTTTTATGATTTGTAATGTCTTAGTGCGGTACTTAAAACAATTTGTCTCCCAACAGTATTTTAAAAAGCAATTTTTATTACATTTCTTACTGAAACTGCATACAAACATATGTCACATCAACATACTTTGCCTTTTTTCAATCGACAATGTTGAATCAAGCTTGAATTTTTTGCTAAAAGTGAGTACGAAATCCTAAGAGAGAACAACCAATCGTTAAAAAATGAGCATCGGTTGAAAAATAAAGCTTTTTTCCTCAGTCACTACAATTAAAAAATTGTTAATTCTTACACACGTGTGCGAATGAAGCATTAAATTTTTTTTTTTTTTAAACAACACGTCTTCACATTATCGTTTCCCTCCTAAATGTAATAAAACTAAAGACCGAGATATATTAACAATAAATCAATTTACTCAAAACAGTGGTAAATTCATCATTNGTGGATGTGTGTACTTACACGTCGAAATCTGTGAAAAATCACGAGATAGGTCTGCACTGCCGATAATTCGATGTCCTGCTTACTTGTTTAGCTTTGCTTTGTTTTACGAGAAGATATTATCGTTTCCCTCCTAAATGTAATAAAACTAAAGACCGAGATATATTAACAATAAATCAATTTACTCAAAACAGTGGTAAATTCATCATTGCATAATTTAAAAAAAAAATAAAAAAAAATAAAAATCTACCAATATACGTGACAATGTACGATATAATTTACAAATGCAAACACACGCTCCGAGATTAGATCGTTGATATGTTTTGTTTTGTTACCGAGCAGCAACTGCGAGAAGTCATACCTCACGTAAAAATGGAGAGGAAGCTCAGCAAAATCGAAACGCTCACGCTCGCCAAGAATTACATAATGGCTCTGACGAATGTCATATGCGAGATGCGGGGCGAGGAACAGCCTTACACGTAAGTTTTTATCCCTCCATTGTATTACTTATTCTTTTTTTCTTACCTTATCTTTCGGGCAGAGGCCGATCGCTCTGTTGCCTAAAGATTTTTTTTGTTTATCAATCATACGCAACTTTATAATTTAAAAGTTTTGACTCTCGTGGTGAAATCGTTCTTGAAAAGGGTTATTGTTTTTGCTCGTTGGTTTTTTTTCTCATTGAACTTTGGAATTAATTATCGACGTTCGATAAGACCTATTGAAAAAGGCAGCTCTTTTTTTTTCGACGTTTATAAAAATGCGTATTACGTAAAGCTATTATTTATAGAAGTAATCGGAATAAGCGATAAAATTGTAATTAAAAATGTGTATACCCCTCATCGTGATTCGACGGTAAAATAGCTGCTGAAAATTTAATTGGAGCATAGGTTGCATAAAAAATATTTTTAAAACATGCACCGCAGCTATACATCAATATAAAGTAAGTGTTTTCGTGCGATAGTAATTTCAGGGAACTGATAAAAAAAATCGTACGTACCTGATTCGCTAAAGCAAATAAAACAGGGTATGCAAATAAAACGGCGAGTAATTTAACGTACTTGTATTAAACCCATTGCTTTGGAACACGTTTCTTCAATTAAAAAAAAAAAAAAAAAAAAAAAAAAATTACGTCAAAGTCACGGTAATAATCACAAAAAAGTGTCGTTCAAAAGCCGAGATTTTTCGCGCGATCGCAAGTATATACACGCCCAAATGACAAAAACGGTAATGATTGCAGATTCGTGGACGGCGAGTGCGGCTCGAGCAGCGGGGACAGCAGCACCGGCCAACTGGAGCTGAGCGGCGGGGACGAGCAACCGGAAGAAGCATCGCCCGGCTCGCTGCACGAGACCAACAACAACAGTCTCCTGCACGAGGACCTCGAGCGTAGGATATAGACAACGAGGACGCTCCGGGACGTAATAATATAACTTTGCAACGCTCGGCACCTATACAAGATTTCTCTTTCTTTATCTCCTTATCCGTCGCCGCATCTCCTTCGCTCAAAGGTGGAAAACGCGTACAACGCGAAGAGCCAACGGAAAGAGGGAGAGAAGAATAAAAAAAAAAAAAAAAAAACAAAGGGCCACACTAGATTTTTTTTCTACA